TTTAGGGTTTAGGGTTTTGTGTGTAGGCTGCGGACCGCCAGCAGCTACCTGAACTTATGAGGGAGGTTTGTTGCCTCGCTTGTTATATGCAAGACATTGAAGGGTTTATCAAAAAGCTACTAGAGGTTAGGGTTTAGGGTTTAGGGTTTAGGGTTTAGGGTTTAGGGTTTAGGGTCTAGGGTTTAGGGTTTAGGGTTTAGGGTTTGTTGTTTTCTCCAAGGTTTACAACCGTCGTTGCTTGTTCTAGGGTTTAGGGTTTAGGGTTTAGGGTTTGTTGTTCTTCCACGGTTTATAACAGTGGTCGCCTAGGGGATTCTTGGTTTAGGGTTTAGGGTTTAGGGTTTAGGGTTTAGGGTTTGGGTTTGTTTGGCGTCTTTGCGTTTCCCCCTTCACTTTCGTTGTTTATTTATTTATTAATTAATTAATTTATTTCTTAATTAATTAATTAATTTATTTATTTATTTATTTTTTATTTTTTTTATTTGTTTGTGTGTTGTGTACAGTGTGAGCTGGAGTGTATAGGCAGCTTACCTGTATCTTTATTTTTGTCTGTGTCTTCGTTGGTGGTTATTTTATTTAATTCTTTTTTTTCTGTGTCTTCTCCTCTTCTCCTTTTGGACGATCGGCGGTGGTTTTTTACTCTTTTGGGGCCCCCATTGAGTGCTGTTGCTGCTGCTCTTGCTGCAGCAGCAGCAACAGCAGCAGCAGCAACAGCAGCAGCAGCAGCAGCAGCAGCAGCAGCAGCAGCAGCAGCAGCAGCAGCAGGAGGAAGAAGAAATAGATGATAGTGTGATTGAGGCCCCTTTAGAGTTATTTGTAAATTTATTAACACAAACAAAGATAAGCTCAATACCAGCCCCGATTCGTTTTTTATTATATTTATATGTAGATAGTATAGAGATGCATGCGCAGCAGCAGCTGCTGCAGCAGCAGCAGCAACAGCAGCAGATAGATTGGGGGTATCAAGCTGCTTCTTCTCGGTTTCCTTCTGTCCCTCCAGCAGCAACAAATAACATTTCTGCTGCTGCTGCTGCTGCTGCTGCTCAGCTGCTGCTGTCTTCGTTCTTTGTCTCTTCTCTCCGTCTTATGCGTACAGAAGCCCTAAAAGCAACAGAACAAGCAGCAGCAGCAGCAGCAACAAGCAGCAGCAGCAGCAGCAGCAGCAGCAGCAGCAGTGGGGGTAGAAAAAAAGGAGAGTTTATATATCTTTCTGTGCCGCCAGAAGAAAAAAATAAAAACTCAAGAGAGATAGGAGGAGACAAAGCAAATATATTTTTATTAACAAAAAAATATTTGTCTCCTTTACGGGCTCTAGATAAAGGCATAAGAAAGCTTAGTTTTTATATATTTGATGCTGCAGTGCATGCAGCAGCAATAGAGAGAGAAAGACACAGACAAACATACAAAGACAAAGAAAAAATAAATATATTAAGAGAAGAAATAATAAAAAATAAAAATAAAAAACATACGAGTTTCTTTGTCTCCGCTGCTGCTAATATATATATATGGATACAAAGACAAATGAAGACACCACGTTTATATTCTCCTTTTATATTAAAAACAAAAAAAAATAAAGACGCAGACAGAGCAGCAGTTTATATATTAAATTATATTCTTTATTTAGATAAAAAAACCAGAGAAACAGGAAATAAATACGCAGACAAAGACAAAGACAAAGACACAAATAATATTTTTTTTAATACTTTACTCACACAAAGACAAACACAACCAGAAGAACTCAACACCCCACACTTTCATAAACTTCTACAACTCGCACTCAAGACAGCACCCTATACACAACACAGCTAATATATATATATATATATATAT